TGGTGCGCAGTGTGTGGCTCTGTAGGTTAGTACGACTGGCCCGTGACCAGAAGGCTGGCGGATCAGATACTGTGCCCCAAAGTCTGATTTCACCATTGGGCCCTTAAGGTCCTTAACCCCAATTGCAGGACAGTGTCTGACCCGGATATCCAATTCCCATTTGTATGTCACTCCAAAAAAAGCTGCCCACTCAAAATGTTTCTATCTAATCCCAGACCTAATAGCTTAAGCAATTAATCTCAAAAAAACGGAGCCTTGGTGAGACCTACAGGAATGGAGGCGGCCGTCATGCCACTCGCGATGCCTGTCAGGACACGTCCCAGGTAGAGCATCCACACGGCCTGTGCTGACCCCATCAGCAGGTACCCTATAGTGGCTGGCACTGCAGACATCATGATGCTCAGCTTTCTGCCCATCTTGTCGTTCAGAAACATGGCCCCAAGACCCCCGGCCGCAGCACCAAGTGAGAAGACTGACTGTGGGGGAAAAGGAAGCGTTATATTTAATGACATAACTTGTTCAGCTGTCCTTACCTTTACTTTTTCATTACAACTTCTTTGTCTCCTGATGTCAATGTTCATAGTCCTCACCCAACTCTCTACCAGGAACACCTTTATCATTTACGTTATTGATCTTTTAAAATGACCTGAAATGGCAACTTTTCATGGGTTCAGAATCAATTCTATTAATCTATGAATATATCGTGTTCTGATTAAAACGATGGTATTTATATAACACCCATTTGTTTTATGTTCATATACAGGTTTTCTCTTTGTCCTCACCCCAAACCAGGAGATGTGTGAGGTGTCCATCCTGAGATTGGGGTTGTCATCGACCTCGAGGTAGGGAATAACGGGGGAGGGGTATACTAAAGCATACCCAAAGGTGAAGTTCCCCAGTACTGCAGAAAACACAGCCAGGAACAGCTTGCTATTGCTAGGAGAAAAAAGGAATGCAATGAATGAATGTACTACCATAATCTTTAGCAAAAGAGGACTGAATTCCATAAAATACATAAGTCCCTTTTAAGCAATTTAATACACAGAGAGATGTGGAAACAACCAGCATGATTTTGGTGACTGGAGGAAGTTTCTTGAGCAAAGTGTACATTAAGCAAGAATGTTATACAGTTATAGTAAATACTGTCTGCTGGCTCTTTTATGTGTCTGCACGCAAGTGCTCACACACCCTAAGCTAGGTCTCCCTCCACCACTGCACCTGAACCACTGCCACTGCATCAGCTGATCCAAACAGAGGAATTATGGACAAGTCTCCACATCTCTATGGCAGGAATATGATCACCATGTCATTGCTTTTCAGGGGTTCCGGACAATGAGCACAAATGTGTACACTCTAATGCGTAAATGCATCAGTAGGTCCTCAGCAAAATTCCAATATACACTTATTGGCCACTTTATTAGGTACACAATGGTAGTACTGGGTTGGACCCCCTTCTGCCTTCAGAACTGCCTTAATTCTTTGTAGGGTAGATTCAACACGGTGCTTGAAAGATTCCTCAGGACTTTGGTGAATGATGACATGATTTGTCAACTGCACCTTCATGATGCAAATCTCCCATTCCACCACATCCCATAGGTGTTCTGTTGGATTTATATCTGGTGACTGTGGAGGTCATTTGAGTACAGAGAACTCATTGTCATGTTCAAAAACCCAGTGTGAGATGATATGAGCTTTTGGACATTGGGCGTTATCCTGCTGGAAGTAGCCATTAGTAGCTGGATACACTGTGGTCATAAAGGGATGGACATGATCAGCAGGAATACTCATGTAATCTGTGTTATTTAAATGATGTTCAATAGGTATTAAGGGGACCAAAGTGTGGCAAGAAAATATCCCCTTGCTGATACAAGGTAGGATGCATCCAATCTTTCATGTCATGTACGGCAAATTCTGACCCTGCTATCTTATGTCGCAGCAGAAATGGAGACTCATTTGACCAAGCCACATTTTTTCCAATCTTCCATTATCCAATTTTGGTGAGCCCATGACCACTGTAGCCTCAGCTTTTATATACTTTCATATACTAGGTCAGTGTATATGTCTACATATATAAATTAATGATGTAACTATACCGTTTACTCTGAAGTACAATTTGAGGTCGAAGTGAAAAATAATAATAGGCCTATTGAGTATTCCTAATTGCCAGCTTCAAATGTGTCAGAAAAGTTGCTTCCTTCTGAAAGTATAGGCACCTAAAGTAGCAGGTTTGGTCAGGAAACACTGCAAGTAATCAATATCATACACGATTACACAAGAAGAGGAACTGGAAAATGGGTTTCAGCAGATTAGGAATTAAGCAGGAATTAAGGAATTGCGCTAAAATGCAACGAACTATGATTGCTAGGTTGGAAGTGAAACATGATAATATCTCATAAAAAAGAAGTCGCACAGACATTGATGAGGAGAATTAGAGCGACTGTAGACAGCGTAGGAGTAAAGAAACATACGTAGAGGTAAAAATATTAAATAAACGGTAGCACTGTACCTTGTAGAAGAAGCCGGTCCATTTTTAAGAAGTGCTGTTCTCTCATCCATCATCTCATCTGTGTCCTACTCGCCGTGGTCTGTTAAGCTCTAGCTCAGCAACCAAAAGTGAAAGTATGTAGGAGAAGCGACTCGATCCTCGCAATCTCGGATATTTACTTTTTGAGCAACAAAAGAAGAACGCTGTCAACCGTTGCTTGTTTGATATCACTTATTCAACTGCATGTGATTCTTATGTGTTTGAGAATGCTGTACAGTGCAACATTTGTTTCAGTGATACTGAGCAAGAGCAAACAAAAGAGACAAACCCAGTTCCCTAAATATAACGTTGCAACTCTGCAAAAAATCTCTTCAGTTCATTGTTTATGAAGGGGCAACTCTCGGTCTGTGAAACATTAAGAAACTTGTCTGTAGGAAGAGTGTGTAAATGCCTGTCCACAGCTGACTGTTAAATATAGATTATTGATATTGTTCCCTTCCTGTAACCCTTTGGAAATTTGCCGTCATTGCGTAATTTGTGGTTATTACCACTGTGTTGACATATTATTTTTCCGCGTCCTACTCAACACTGTGCATGCGCGATGAGTAAATTCCTCCCAGTAAACTTTGTTATCGAGTGATCAAAACGCCGAATTAATTTATATGTGGAGTTGAAATTTTGGAATTAAAAGTCGAAGTGCATAATGGATAAATACTCGGTTTAAAATCTTCAAAGTTTTATATCCTAATCTTTCATTGTATTAAAATCATTATGTATTTAATTATATTAATTATCGATAGCCATTGTTTTAATTATAATTTATTGTCAACAATATAAACCATGTCATTGTAATAAATGTTACATTTCAGTATAGCTAAGTTTTTGTATCGGTGCTAGACGGAATAGGCCTGTGTGTCCGGGTGTTATGATTGTACAAGTATCAATTAAGTGGGTCTTTATTGTCGTATCATCTGTATACAATCCATAGCGTACAGTGGCACGAAGTAACATTCCCCAGGACCGCGGTGCGGTTTATATACATAAAGTGCAGAGACTGTAAACGGGACAAGGGCAACACATGGGGTTGGGGGATAATAGCAAATAAATCAAAACGGAGAATATATACCTAGACTACAGTAGAGGTAGGGGTACCCACACAATATAACACATACTGTATGGTGGCGACTGCATAACTAATGAAAACAACATATGTCACTCGACAGATGTGACATAGATGTTGGAAAGACAGACAGGTTGGAATGGAGTACACATTGAAAAAATGTGCATTTTGTAATGTTTATATGAATGTATGTGACTTTCAACACTAAAGTGATGTTTTGATGTTTAGCTTTTAGCCCAGCTTGCTGGATTAGCTCATTTCTGGTAAAAGCTCTGGAAATGCGTGTATGGAGTATTGGGGGCTGGGTAAGCAGGTGATCCGACTTTCTTGTTTCAGGATGAACGGCTTTATTAAAAAATTTATTTAAGGCAAAACAAAGAAGATGTTGTCCTAGGTGGGTGGCATTTTGGGGAGGGCGGGGGCATGGCATGGCCCGCAATGCCCCCCATGTCGCCAACCCTGGTAACAAACTACCCGTCCAGCAGTTTCCTGTTTCTGCTCAGTCTTTTTGAGATTTGAAGGATTGAGCCAGTTTGCAGTGACTTTTTGCTAAGCTATACAGTTTAATGTAGGTCACTTGTAGTACTCTTCAGCAACAGATTTGATGCCTTGGAAATTTCTTTGTACTCCCAAAGGATAAATATTTTTAAAAGCTCACGAAAGATGACCTGTAGCTACGACTAGCATTGTCTGAGAAGTCGTAAGTTCATGGGCATATTTGGGGGCCCAAGTCATCGGTCCTCCTGTGTCCTGCAGCAGCAGCATCCAAATTCTCTGAGATATAAGGAGCTTTTCATCTTCTGGTACATAAGTGTAGGAATAGGCTCCAGATTAATAAAATGCTTGCTCCTTAGTTTGAGAAAAGCCTCTTGAGAACACTAACAACTAAAATGTTACAGTGTCACCCAGCTCTTTTGTTTCTCTTTGTACAATATATACAGTACAGTTAGGTTCATAAGTATTTAGACAGTGATACGATTGTCATAATTTTTGCTCTGTACACCACCTCAAAGGATTTGAAATGAAACGATCAAGGTGTGATTGAAGTCTAGAGCTTTAATTCAAGGTGTTTAACAAACATATCATATGAGCCATTTATTAATTACAGTGATTTTTAAATAAATACATTTTCAGGGGCTCAAAAGTAATTAGACAAACTAACAGTCACAAATATAATGATCTTTTTTTTTTTTTAAATGATCATTATATATGTGTGCCTTTTAATTTCTTGTGGTATTCAGTTATGATGTCAATGCTCATACAAGAACAACTTGCCTGATCTCAGCAAAATCCAAAGGAAAACCAGAGTTCAAGAAAAAAAGAAGAAATGTTTAAGTAACTAATATAACCCATGTGATGTTACATACTGTAATAGTGTTCCAGTAATGTATTGACATTGACAAACATTGAAATATTTATTCCTTGTGTTTATTTTTTCATCTGTTAGAAATAACTGAATCTAAAATATTTCTTTAAATGAAATATAACACAAAAATATGTTTATATAAATAACTCCTTGTGAATCATCTTGGGAAATGGTCATTTCTTTTTTTTTGCACAATTAGATGATTATGAAGTGCTTAGGTCAAATGGGGGATGCTGAGACCTACCTGCACAGTCAGAAGATTATTCACAGGTAACTTTAGCAAAAATATATCTTAATCATGTTCAGCTGTCCTCATCTATTTTTATTCCACCAATAGAAACTGAGGCTTTGCAAACTAATCTGGATGCTTTCGGTAATCTCACTGCTGTCAGATGACTGCTTACCTTTAAAACAAGTATATCTTCAATTTATTTTCTAGAAATATGAAACCATCAAACATCCTTGTTGCACAAGAGCCTGACTTCTTTATTTTTGACTTTGTAACTACAATTCTTGTGGAGTTACGACATTTACAGCATTTGGCTGACGCCCTTGTCCAGGGCGACTTACATAAATGCTTTAAGACTCTACAATGAATTTCCCGATACTAGCTCAATAAAACCAAGGCTATGAATACCATCGATGATCATCGATTAAGAAAAACATTGAGGAATTTTAATGGGACAAAGCAACTATCATTCTGATTAACTTCTTAGGGCTTTTCAGCCGAAAACAAAATCTTCCCGTTTTTTTCCTTAGGTGTCAAACATTGGATGGCTCCAGAGAAATCAGACATATGGTCCCTGTGGTTTGTGTCCGACTGGACATGCTCACCTGTGACATGCTGGCCGACTGCTTATCTGTACTGATGCTGGTCATATCAGTCATATGGTCTGATGAACTCAAATAAGACACTGTTATATTGTGCTCTGGGGTGGCAGTGCTGATTAATGAGGCGAGGGTCTTTATAGACTCCAAACAAGAGAACAGCCAAGCGATAATGATTGAATGCAAAGTAAGAATGTAGATTTGTGATGGTTTGGCATGTTTTTCAGGAGAAAGGATCCCTCAGTCAGCTACAGTGGGTCAAATGTGACTTATCGCCATTGGAGAAGATGACCTCTAAGGACTTAAAGCACACCCTCTCTCTGCTTCTGAACTGGGATCCAGTGGACAGACCCAGTGTGAGATATGCCTGGCAGGATGGTTTGGTCTCTCAGGGTTAGCTTGGAGGACCATAATGAGGACAGTGAAGGTTACAGTGTAGCCTCTGTGTGATTCTGGAAGCTGGCGAAGGAGGCCATGGTGTGATGGCTGCCCTAGCATGCTGAGGAACATGCTGCCTCTGGGAATCCGTCAAGCGCCAAAGCTCCAGGGTGTGGACTTTGTGTTGAATAAAATCATTTGTACCCCAATCCCATCCAGAATACAAAGCGTGTTGGTCTGGTTATTTGGATCTGCTTGCATGCACTTTGCGTGTTTATGTTTGTGCCTGCTAGCTGCTTTTAATATGTGCTGACATGCAGGCAGTGCCTTCTCTCGTCGCAGGATACAGGACCATGTGCCACATAGATGGGGCAGTGAAGGACATATCTTTGGAGGAAAGGTCTCCCGGTCAGTTTGCAGCACATTTGCATGGGGATTGGATTAGCAGATCACTCACTATTAGGCACAAAAAAATAAAGGTGCTGTTTCAATGAGAGTAAGGAAAAAACTAGGGGGTGGGGGAGAGAAGGCAAGTAGGAGCTGAATTATCACCAGCAGTCATGGTGGTTTGGGATTCTGGTCCAAAACAGATGGCAGTCATGTCCTCCCTCTTCTCACATGCCATATTCACACAACGTGTGAGTGTGTCTCCATCAGTGTATGTGTTAATGCTTATTTTTACTGAACCTAAAATACCTTCCACTGAACTGCATAGTATTTGAAGGCTTTCAAAGAAGCGGAGTCCGTCCAGATCTTTGCTTTGGCATACCTACTGGACGGGAACAAGGAAAGTGATACTCACGTTTCCACAAGGTTATTTAAACACTCTAATTCCTGATTATATGGCATCTGTGTAGCTAATCAAGTAATCACTAGTTAAAGTTTCAGTGGAAATCTTACAACTTCCCCCTGCTTATCCTGGACAATGTTCCAAGGGGCCCTGCAGCCTGTCCCAGGAGAGGGATAGGTAGGGGTTCACCCTGGATGGGGTGCCAGTCCATCACAGGGCATGTACATGCATACACTCACACACATTCACACACTACATGCAGTTGAGTAGAAATAAAATACAAATCCGTACCATGTAGCCAAGCCTTCTGAAGAGCAGTATTCTCCAGGGTCCCCAGTGTGGTGCAGCATGTCACCATTGTAATGTAAAGTCAGATGGACTGTGTGGAGGTGCAGCTAATGGTGGGGAAAGTCCTACAAACTGATTGCACTTATGGAGAAACTTTTAAATCAGACACATCAGCTTTTAAGGCTAGGAGACCTGACCTGCGGAGGCAGACGTGTCCTGTTCAGTTTTGTCTTTTGATACTGAATCCCAGTTTCTAGGCAGCTCTGGGCCACAGTGTGAAAGACGCCTTCCCATATAGTGAGGGTGTGGGCTCTGTGTGGTGTCACCCTGAGAGGAACATCTGCTCTTGCGGACCTTCCACCTTCTCTTCCTCATCTGTGGGGATGGTACGTACTGCTTACACCTCTTTTAAAGTTGACCGACCTACTGTACATGTCTGGCTTTTAAAGTCAACTGTGCATTATTTTTTTCACAGCAAATTATATCCAATTATGCATTATTTCCAAGATTGTTCTAAAAA